ATAAATAATATATGTTTATTGAATAATATTAAACAAAGGAAAGATTTCAATATTCAAATATAAAACTAATGATTATAATTAACTTTACTATTTTACTTTTTTTTATCTAATTGGAGATTAATTAATCAAAATTTAATAAGAGTATGGGTAGGTTGTTGCTGAAATTATGCAGGAATCAAAGGATTTTGATCATCAGTTGGAATACATTACATGCCATTTCATGGTGGTATCACTTTGAGACGATTGAAGGGTCTAATGATTTTATGTTGTGTCACTTTTAATTAAATAATATCTAAGAGGACAAAAACATTAGTAGAAATTATAATTAAAAATAAGAAAAACCCAGCAAACCATATTTTATTATCTTTTTAAATTTTTTTTATCATAATTAATTTAAGTTTCTTTTGGGTTGGGGATGAGACAACTTTCTGTTAAACTAAATTATATCTACGCAAGTATTATGTTTGTTTTGACATCCATATAAAAGATTAAAATTGACAAGAAATTAATAATAATAATTATATGTAACAACACTGATTCTTTATTTTATATATGAGCCCTTATTTAAATTAATACATTTCTATATACTTTTATGAGGAATTGCTTAATTTATTTAATAACCATTCTCAAACATACTTTTGATCGAAACATATTTTAGTACATTGATGTTATAACCAACCTCGAGTCTCGAATTGAACATTTTTTCTTGGTTGTATATATATAACACCTGAATGAAGAAGTTGTATTATTTAATAGTTTTACAAATAGACAATAAATCAATCTTAATTAATTAATAGAGTTGATTAGGTTAAGATGCCAACTAAAGTAGAAGTATTAGGTCAAGAAAAAAGAATAGGAGTGATGATAGCATCATTAGTAGCATTTCAACATTGACTGCGCATAAAAAGCTTCAGGGAACATTGCCTCTTTGTAAAGCTAATCTCTACAACTATGCACTACTATGAAAAAACATTAAAAAATAAAAGTTAAAAGCCTCACCTCTTTAAGCTATGTAATACTTATAATTTATTATATTAATTGTCACCATTAATTATACTCTTGTTAAAAATTGTTGATAACATGTAAATTTTCTATTTCTGAAGAAATTAAATGGGTTTTCAGAAACTGGTTTTATAATATAAGGAATGATAATGCTATCAATTAGAAAGAATATATTACTCGATGAGTTTGGGATGATGATTTGTAATAATAACACTCATGCACACACTCATATGATAAATATATATGTTGAAACTTTAATAATGGCTATGGAGATAGTGCGCAGAAATGAAGTCATCAACAAAATGAAAGAAGCTAATTACTTCAACAATCAGCTGCCTGTTGCAGATTTCATGCTCTTTCTATAACATGTAATAAGGAAAGAGAAAAAGGATTTTATCTCATCAACCTTCCAATGACCCTTTAAGTATATACTAGTGTTTTTTGGCAAGAATAATAATCAATCGTCCTTGTAATTGGATTTGTTTTCCCATTTTTTTAGAAGATTCATGTTTAGGCGCAGAATTTTTTGTTGGTTTAATACATTCTAAATGATTTCATGTAATCTATAGTTTAAATAGATTAATAAGGGTGAGAATCCTGCGACGGATGAATATAAAACAAGTATAAACTCAAAATATTTTACATTAAATTTACACATATAAAAGCATTTTTTTTTTTTTTTTAAAATGATACATGAATTTTGGTTTATTTTATGTGTAAAGTGGAAACAGAGAGATTAATTCTTCGCTCATAGAAAATGAAGAAATGAAGAATTAAAGAGTTAATTAAGCAGATGGGAAGGGCCATGTTTCCGTGAAATGAATTGATGAATTACATAACTCAAGGCACTCAAATGGTGTATAAAAGACATATTTTTAAGCACCAGAATCTTAAGTAATTAAAAATAGATTGTGATAAACTAATTTCAGCTACATTTATGTAAGAGACCCATATGATGAATTTGTACAAAATAATATAACGATATAATGTCTATAATTACTTTTAATTATAGAAATTAATATAATAAAAAAAAGTAATAAGGGAAGGTTGGGGTTTTATAGCTAACTTTTGTATTGATTAAAAAAGGGGGGGAAGGGACGTGACTCCACTCTGAAAGTAGAAGAAGCAAAGGCATGTGGGAAGAGTGATGGTGTGGGGTAAAGCACTTTTGGTGATTGTCATCCTTATGACCACAACAAGATGAAGGAAATTTGACTGTACAATCTCTATTCAGCTCTCTCTTTATTAGACATACATCATCACCCTTGTATCATGGATTGTCTCTCCCCTTTTTCTCTCTACCTATATTTACTTCAATTCACTCTTTTTAAAAATTTGTTTACAATAAACTATAATAACCAGTGTCGCCACCGTGGAGTATTGAGTCCATTGACTAGCCCCTTCCATTAAAATTAAAAGATGGGCTTGCATACAAGGCTCATAAATGAGAACAATTGGACTGGATCAATTACTTCTTTTTATTTAATTATTTATTATTATATACAATTTTCATTTATTGAGCAATGGATAACAAGCTAAACAGTTGCCCAGTGTTAAAGATGAGTTTACAGTCGATAGTAGTCAGAGTAGCACAGGGACGAGTGAAGGACTGACTGTGCTACACAAGTTTCAAGGATATTACTGTTAGTTTGTTAGAGGAAAGTTAATTTGAGCAAAGAAAATAAATTTTGTACATAAACCTGTATAAAACTTATCCCGAGTTCAAGTCCCTACAGTTGTTAATAAGGGTGACTACTATAACTTGTATTCGACTGATAATTCTAAGGGCTTGGGAGATTAGTTGAGGTGTGCACAATCTGGTCCGGATACCCTTGGATATTAAAAAAAAAAAAAAAAAGAACAATGTGTATATAACTAAGTTAGGTAGTATTGTATAAGTTGAAGAACAGAAAATAATAAATATTCTCTCTGGTTTGAAGAATTCTTCAAAAGTTAACCCCCCATGCAATGGCTTATCTCAATGAAAAACTTCCAGATAAGGATTTCAAAAAATTGGCCCATACTATATGGGATGGATATAAGACTAGAGCTTCATCAAGGGTGAATATATTAAGAAAAAATAAAAAATAAATAAAAAAGAGATTAGAAAGTATATTTGGAATAAATTTGTATATGTTTAGAAAATAATTTTATTTGAAAAGTGGCTTATTAATAGTTTTTACAAGGCTTTAATATATAGAGTGAACGACATGTTCCCACCCAAAGTTTAGCTAAACTCAAGGTTCCCACCCCTGGTTTATAAATTCCAGATTACTATCCTTAAATTGTCACTGTTTATGATTTTCAGATTAGATAACAATATAGATACTGTTATTACCAAACTATCTTTAAACATAAATTAAAAATTATTTTTTAAACTCTAGATTTTCAGGCCGATTTGGTCGTTTCCCAGAGCTGACGACCTTCCCCAATGCCACCCATAGCACCCCTGTCCATCCACCACCAAAACCTCACCATCTTCCTGCGAATTCACCCACCATCACCTCTGTCGTCGTCCCAACCGCAAGTTTAGAGAAGTTTGGTTTGATTGTGGAGTTGCTTTGATTGGTAGATTTTGGAGATTTGGGGGAATATTGATAATTGATTGTGTTTAGCTTTGAGAGGTTTAGATTTGATAATTGATTGTGTGTACCTTTGAGAGGTTTAGATTTGATAATTAATTGTGTGTAGCTTTGAGAAGTTTAGATTGATTGAAATTTATTGATGCAAATTTCTGGAATTTCTGCCATTCCTAGCTCATTCAAGTAGCTTTCTTGCCCAGACGCACACCAAGCACTTGACGAAATGCCCCACCCACTGGGTGCAAAATAAAGGCCGGTGGGCGGCAAACGGTGAGTGAGGGGAGCTGATGTGGGGATGGGTTTTGAAGAAGGGAGAATGGGGGGTCCAACGGAGGTGGTTGGGTGAATTTCCAATGAGTGAGACGATTGAAAAATGGCTGCAAAGATGGAGGTTTGCGAAGTCGAATGCCCCCATTGGGCACAGAAGAAAGGTCGATGGACCAAAAACGGTGAGTGAGGGAAACTGATGTTGGGGTGGGTTTTGAGAGGGGAGAATGAGGGTTCGAATGGAGGTGGCTGGGTGAATTTCCGATGAGTGAGGCAATCAGAAAATGGCTGCAAAGATGGAGGTTTGCGAAGTTGAATGGTCACCGATTTCTGACGAATGGAGGGGGCTTCGGTGTGGGAGGAGGGTGGGGAAAGGTGAGGAAGAAGCAAGAGGGAGGGGGTTGTTTTAGGTGGAAAGGTAGCTGGAAAAAGGCTAAAAATGTTGGCAGTGACATTTGCTAATGTGCCTGCCCTTGCTAAAATGTGCCAGCCACCCACTCATTGGTTTCAAGAATAAAATAACCATTTTACCCTTTAGTTGTTAGCTTAAACAATTTTCTGTTAATTTAAGGGTGAAAATTTGGAATTTATGAAACCATGGGTGGGAACCTGGGATTTCGTCGGGAAGATGTCGTTTACTCTAATATATATAATTTAGGTATTCCTTTCAACTTTCAAGAACTAGACACTGGTCAATTGTATAAAAAATGTAAATGAAGGCACATTACCAATATTCCAATAAAATTAAAGAAAATAAAACAATACACTTGCGTCAATCCAAATAACAACTACAGACCAAACTTTAATGAAATGCTTACTAAAAATAAGTTTTATCGTCCTTAACATAAATGATATGATATAATTCACTAAAATAACTTTTGACTTTAAAAGAAAGACTCCTTAAGGATAAACCTAATTTTTTTTTCTATCAGAGAATATCTAAAGCCGGAGGATTCGAAGCTTCTAACTCTCACAAATGTCAATGGGTATCATAATATATGTACGAGGGTCAAGGTGATGTGGCAGTGGCACAATGCAGCCGTTAGTTAAGGCACAGCCGTGGAGCCGGCAGAACTAGTAGTATTTGGCACCGAATTTGTTTCTTCCCCAAATAACAAGGCAATCCTTGCGCTGGATTCAAAGTAATGCTCAAAGACATAGAAATACTCTATCTTCCACATTGAATTGCCTCAGAGGCGCATGTCTCGTTGGAGAAAATTTCTGGCACATTGCCCTGGTATAATGTGCCTGCATCGAAGGATTAGAGCTAGTTGAATCAATTACCACCTCCCACATCATTCTCGTTCTCCTCCTTTGCTTTCTCGACTTCTTATGGATCCTATATAATACACAATCATCCAGCTGCCCAAAAATATAAGGTTATTATCAAGGAACACTACCAAAAAAAAAAAAAAAAAATACATCTTTTCTATTAGAATATATCTGTTATTTGAAACAAAATTAATTAATACTAAAATTGGCGTTGCAAAAATATATAACGAATTTTCCATTAAAATTAATTATTGTGATGGATTTTTATTTGTTACAAAAACAAAAAACAAATATAGAAATCTATCGCAACGTTTTAAATCATTTGCTACAGATTATTTTTCTATTACAATAAATATTTGTTTCAATTTCTGACGAAATTTTTTTTTGGCAAATAGTACATTTTTTTTTTTTTTTTTTTTTTTGGTGGTGGAAATAAATGATTGTGCGTTCATGCATAAAACCCACTAGATAATGAACTAAGAGAATATAATTAATTAAGAAATGAACGGATGAAAAAATGAAATATGTACCCTCATGTCAATAGGAGCAGTAGTATTTGAAGTTGAAGCATTCTGCGACTTCTTGTTGCAAGAAGTGTCGGTATTTGAAGCCAATCGATATTCATACATGATCCAATTAGTCTTTACTGAATCTTTATGTGTCCCTTGATAATAGACCAGACCCTTCCTTCTCCCAATTGTGATGTCAGTTTGTTTAATCTTAAGATCAACGCCAGTAGCCTTCCAATAACCATCAGCGGCAGAACGTCTTGGACGGTTCCCTTTGGGATACTTACGGTCCCTTGAAGAGAAGAAGTACATGTAATTTTCTCCTTCTATCTTGTAATTATCTGTTTTTTATGCAACATGAATATAATAATGAGAAGATAAAAACATTGCCAGAGGATAGAAAAACTAAATTATGCAAATAGGTAAAACATAGAACGTCTTATGGATATTGAAGTTTGAGTTCGTTAATTCGTTAAGGTTCAATATGTATGCCCTAGAATGAAGCCACTAAACTAAGTATAGTCTGCAATATGCTAGGGGTATAATGTAAACCCTAGAACGAAGACACTATGAATTAAGCGTAAACTACAATGTGTTAGGTTTGGAACATAAACCCTAGAATGAAGACACTAAATTAAGCATGAGCTACAATGTGTTAGGGTATGAAAATAAACCCTAGAACGAGTACCCTAAATTAAGCATGAATTACAATAAGCCAGGGTTTTAATGTAAACCGTACAATGAAGACACTAAATTAAGCATTAACTACAATGTGCAAGGGTTTTAACATAAACCCAAGAACGAGAATCCTAAATTAAGCATAAACTACAATGAGTTAGGATTTTAATGTAAACCCTAGAATGAAGACACTAAATTGAGCATAAACTACAATGTGCTAGGGTTTTAACATAAACCGTAGAACAAGGATACTAAATTAAGCATAAACTACAATGTGTTGAGGTTTTAACGTAAACCCTAGAACAAGGACCCTAAATCAAGCATAAACTAGAAGGAGCTAGGGTTTTAACGTAAACCCTAAAACGAAGCCACTAAAAAGCATAAATTGCAATATACTAGGGTTTTAACGAAGCCACTATATTAAGCATGTGGTGTGGGAGATATCTAAAACTCCAAGTAATAGTTAACTCACAACTCAAAACAAGTCCAGTACCGGATAGAAAAACAACTAAACCATGAAAAGAGATAAAAACAAGCCAACTGAAAGATTAATAAACAAACGATGAAAAGAGATAATGGAGGACAAACCATATAGTTGTTGAGGATTGTAGTGGTATATATTAACTTCCTTAATCCTGTTTAATGGTAAACTCAATTTCAAGACTTTATTCCTCAGGTAGTACACGATTAATTCTTCGTCAGTTGGGTTGAACCTATAGCCTGGAGGCATCGACCTGAAATAAGAATTCAAGAACTCTTCAGTATGTTGAGGGGTCATCGTTGGCCAGCTGTGTTCAGTCGTCATCTTTGGCCAGCTATTTGCAGTCTTTCATCATCAAACTGAAGCTTGAACTTCTGCGAAGAGAGAGAGGGAGAATCATTATATGTAGTTTATTACAGTATTTAGCTTGGCTTCACCGGAGTCAGTTTTCTTGGTTAAGATGAGTTTTTAATCATACTAGGGGACTCTTTTCTTGTAAGATAATTACAAATATTAATGTATTTATGTTAATTATATCTATTATGGATTTGGAGTTGCCACGTGGTGGAATTATTCCTCAAGTAAAGGAAGTCCGTATACATTACAGAATGTAGGGTGAATCTGTAATTGTATTTGATTTTAATCCAAATACTGATGATCAATCAACGAACCAATGAAATCAAATTTTATTAAGATATGACTTCTTTGTTTACTAGTTAATTAAACAAGATTCACAAAAATCTAGCCGCCCTTTTAAAAAAGAAAAAGAAATTTCAAANAGTTTTCTTGGTTAAGATGAGTTTTTAATCATACTAGGGGACTCTTTTCTTGTAAGATAATTACAAATATTAATGTATTTATGTTAATTATATCTATTATGGATTTGGAGTTGCCACGTGGTGGAATTATTCCTCAAGTAAAGGAAGTCCGTATACATTACAGAATGTAGGGTGAATCTGTAATTGTATTTGATTTTAATCCAAATACTGATGATCAATCAACGAACCAATGAAATCAAATTTTATTAAGATATGACTTCTTTGTTTACTAGTTAATTAAACAAGATTCACAAAAATCTAGCCGCCCTTTTAAAAAAGAAAAAGAAATTTCAAATATTTTTAAATTTTCTAATTAAATCTAAATTCATGATTAATCTACTATGTAATATTTAACACATTATTTTGATTTCTTAATTTTCTAATTTTTATAACAAAAATAAAAATATTACATATAATATTAACGCCATTTTTTTTTTTTTTTTAAGGGGGTGGGGCAGGGGCGGATCTAGCCCCTCAAATAATTTTTCTTTTAAATATTAATATGTATAATTTATATATTTTGGCCCACCCTAACAAAAATATTAATGGACAAAAATAATAATGTATAATAAATTTTTAGTTTGGCTCACCCTAAAAAAAATTACTAGATCCGCTACTAGGGTGGGGGGTGGGTGGGGGCGCACTTTAGTGACTGTTTAAACAAGCATTTGAGATTTGTTATAAAATTCGGAACACCAAAGGAAAGCTTCTGTAAGCACCCAGATAATAATTATTTGTCAATTGAAAGCTTTCTATAGTCATAAAAGCCAGAAATTAAACTGGAAAAGTTGTGGATATAATCATATAATAAAGAGCCTAATCAGATTACTCAATAATTTTTTGTTGCTAAAGTAAGAAACTGGCCGAAAAAAAGTGAAGATCTATTGATAATTAAAAGAGGGACGTTGTTAATTATATATTACGCAATTAATTTGATAAATAAATGAATAAATAAGTTGAAGCATTGGAAATTGAGTGTCTCAACTCTGACTCTCTCTTCATATCTCTTTAATTTTTCTTTTTGAAATTGCAAATTGATAGTTGGAAAAAGGATACAGAAGTAACAACAAATTGAACGAAAGTAATAACAATAACAATAGTAATATTGCTAAAATGGATCAAGATGAGGCATATGACCATGAACAGATTGAGCATTGCTTCCAATGGTCATTTTATCAACCACATGAGGCATTGAAAAAGCGTTTTGTCCATCATTCTCAACCATTTGAGAGCTTGAACAAGACATTGCTTCAGAATAATGAGGTATATTAGATTGTATTTGCAGTAATGGCCACTCAAACCATGGCAGCAGACCTCATGATAGAATTAGAAACTTCATTTTCTTCTTGCTCTCCATTTTTTGATTTTTTCGCCTTCTTATATATCTTGGAGAGAACCAAATCATCGAACTACACAAGAGGTATATAGAAATAAGAGTTGATATAAATACTGAAGGAAAATATTATTGATATACTTGACCATGAAATATTAACTTGGGAATTGACGAATTTGCCTAGTGGAGCAAAGAAGGTTGGAGTGAAATGGGTGTATATGTTGACCTTCAACAGTTAAAGGTCAAAGGGTGTTACCTACAAGTTCTCAAAGCTTGAGAACTTAACTTAATTTGTTGAAACGCTGTTGTTTTGTTGTTTCTGTTAAAGTTTGTTAAAAAGTTTATCAGTAGATGCGTATCTTTAACCACCTGACTAATTTCTTCTTCTCCTCAATATAAAAAAGAGAAATAATTGTATTTGTAGTTTAGTTCTTAATCAATACAAAAAAGGACTTTTCATCCTTAGAAATTTGTTTCACTTTTCTCCCAAATTCATATGGTATCAGAGCCATGGACTCACGTCAATGGCTAGTTTTTCTAGTTTTGATTCTTCTGCAAAAAGCATGGCTAAGATTCAAAGCCCACCTGAGTTTAATTCCTCGGTTTTTCCTTTAAGTCTTCAGGTGATAAATCTGAAGTTGACTCGAGATAATTACTGTGATAAATATCTCTTTTGGCGATCACAGGTTCTATTTGCCATTGGAGTTTATGAGCTGGAAGAACATTTGATAGGTCTAATTCCTTGTCCTGAACCTTTAATTGTTTCAAAGATTAATGTTTCCTCTAAAACAGGAGAAGCTAAATCTAAAGAAAACGTATTCAAAGAAAAAATCAATCTACCTTACATTTCTTGGAAACGAACTGATAAAGTTTTGGATACATGGTTACTTGCTTCAATCTCTGAATGTATGTTTAGCTACGTTTCAAAATGTCAATTCTCCACTGATGTTTGGTTTACTCTTGAACAAGAATTTCTAAGTGACTTTAAAGCTAGAGTTCTTCACTTAAAGAATTTACTTCAAAAATACTTAGAAAGGTAATCTGAGTATCAGCGAATACATTAAAAAGATGAAAAACATAGCTGAGGGTCTGTCAGCCAACGGTTAAATCATTTCAGATGAGGATATTCTCCAATATGTGTTAGATGGCTTAGGTCCTGAATTTGATGTTGCCGTCGTTAATTTGACTTCAAAAATTGAGTCCAAGTTTGATGCAATAACTCTTCAAGAAGCACAATTTCTCTTATAGAAAAATCAAATGAGACTTGAGAAATTCAACTCTGTTGATTTTCACACCAGTTCTGTACATGTTGATGCCGTGAGTAATTCCAATTACAAAACATCATATCCAAGTCTTGCTAATGTTCCACTTGGATCTACTCGTTCTCCTAATTCTCTTGCTCATTAAACACTTTATCTGGTCCTCCTACTTTTGTCACTCAGTTTGCCCCATCATTAAAAACTTTATCCAATCCATCTTTTACTCAACATTATCCTTTACCTGCTACTGTACCGTTTGAGCAAACTGTTTAGTACTTTGCCTCAGCACCTCTAAACTCATTTAGTCACTCAATCTCCAACTTCAGACCTATTGGTTACAATCATTTTGGAAAAGGTCGAGGTAGAGGGAATGGTAGAAGCAGTAAAGGTAGAGGGAATGGTAGAAGCAGACCAATCTGTTAATTGTGTATTAAAATTGGCCAAACTGCTACACAATGTTACCATCAGTACAAATCTAGCTACAATGGTACTCCTCCTAAGTTTGATACTTCTAATCAACACACTAGTGTTGGTCCTTTCACTCCTAATGGTCAACCAAGTGCTCTTCAATCAGGCAATGGAATATTTTAATGACTCAAATAGTCAGAATTACTCATAGCAACCTCTGTAATCTTTTCAATCAGGAACTTCTTCATATGATGTCGCACAAGAACAAGGAAACTATAATGGTTCCAATCAACAACATCAACCCTTTTCCACTCAGCATCAAGGTTTTAAAGTGC